TTTGAATTTTTCAACTTCAGACAAAGACAAAGTCATAAAGAGAAGGATCATGCAAGGGCGGAACTACATATAGTAAGTAGGGGGAAGTTGCCTCTCCCCCATAAAATTTAAAAAATTTCTTCAAATGTAAAGAAGAAAATTTGATTGCCCCCAATGAAAAATATTTATTGCCCCCCTAACACAATCAACCCGAGACACTCAAATATAAATTCTCCATTTACCATTTTTAAACGTCATTTAATACATTTGTTTTAGCATTATCATGTTGCGTTATTTGATTTGCAAACATTAACCATTATTTCCATTTCTATATAAAGGAATTAAGAAAACGATTTTCTTTCTTCAACAATAATTTGCTTGATGGTTTTAGTAAACACAAAATAAATATTTATTTAACTAGTAAGTAAATATACTCAGTGGCATTAAAAAAAACCTATTTTATAATCTAAATATATGTATTTGTATTTATCATACCATGATAAAAAAAAAACATTTTTTATTTTTATAATTTTATTTTATTTTCTTAATTATAATCACTTTTTATAGAAAAAATGCTTTCCATATAAACTATATGGTATAATATAGTTATATATTTGAAAAATGTATTTAGAAAATAATTCAGTTACTTAAAATAATTTTATTTGTAATTATTATTTGCCCCTGATAAAGATTTATGCCGGCTCCGCCACTGATCATGTGAGGTTCGGTGAGATTATTGTTCGGTGAGAAGGATCATGTTCCCATTTGTCTTTTTACGTTTGAATAACACTTCTATCAGTATTCTATCTAGTTTTGTTTTGTCAACGATTTCAATTATATTACTCTTTCAAATGGGTCATCGTGCATCACTACACCATCACAATTGCCTCAATTAATCCAAAATGCACTTGAATGTTCAATTTAATTATCTATCTAAATCCCACTTATTCGGCGCACCATTTAAACTCTAAGGTTTACAAGATTGATAACTAGCATTTTACTGTAATTAAAAAGGTTTGTCTGATGTGTAATGACTATGTTAGCTCTGGTTTTCCAGCAGTATCACATTGAATCAGATAAAGATCTTTCTTTTTAATATTGTTACTTGAAATATGTACTGTTAAGTGACCGTAGGAAAATTGAGACATAATGCTAACAAAACATTTGCATATATATATATTGGTATGTAAAGTTTTAGGATTTATTTTCTATAAGGTGATTTTATGTTCTGTAATTTATTTACTCAATTAATAAAATAAAGTCATAAACAAAAGAATAAATGCCTCAAATTTGTTTTTCTTTATTTTATGCCTTTTGATAGTTCATCCAAGTTATACTGTGTGAGAAGCTGAATTTTTTTGTACCAACCTAATACATTTTGAACATTGATTATTCTTTCATATCTTGTCCAAAAGTCAATCTTGATAACAATTAATACTACGAAAATATAAAAAAAAATTATCGTACACCAATGGTATCATAAATTTATTAGAAGAACATAGAGAATATTAGTGGCAATGTTAAATTACACAAGTTGCATTTATACAAAAACAGAACATTTAAAAATAAATTAAATTAATCAAAAACAAAAAGAAGAGAATCAAGCAGCAGCGGTTAATCCAAGAAAATCAGCGGCGGACTTTGCCATGATATGCGCAAACTCATTAAAACTAATCACACCGTCACCGTTAGAGTCAGCCTCCGTCATCATCTCCGTCAACTCACGGTAAGTCAACGGCTGCCCCATCTTAGCCATCGACCCAGCGAGCTCCGCGGCCGTTATCTGACCGTTACCGTCGCGATCAAACGAGCGGAAAACCTCCATGAGCTGCTCCTGGTTGATGAGCACCTCCTCGTTGAGATCCGGCATGATCGCGACGACGAGCTCGTCGAACTCCACGGAGCCGTTGCCGTTACGGTCGATTTGGCTGAGGAGGAGAGAGATCTGATCGCCGCGGGGTTTGATTCCGAGGGAACGGAGGAGAGCGGCGAGCTCGAGGTGCGTTAGGCTTCCGTCTCGGTCCATGTCGAAGCGTGCGAAGATGTCTTTGAGTTGTTTGAGTTGTTCGGATGCCATTGGTGGAGAGAGGAGGGAAGAAGGAAGGTAACTTGTTGGAGAAGTTTATTTAAGTTTTTAGGGTTTTTAAAAAGAGTTGGATTTGGGGATTGAAGAGTTCTCTTAAGGGGAAGAAGCGTGTTTATGGAGACGAAGTTGAGATGGTAGAAGTTTTTGTTATTGTTTGTAAATTGAATTGTATTCCCGCGTAGTGAATTAAAATTTTGTTTTTTTTATATTTTTTTCTTTTAATTATTGGTGAGATATTGGATCTGTGGAGACAAATTAAAGGAGATTGACGGTGAAATCATTAATTCGGAAATTGGGTAGGAAGCACATCTTACACCTATCTTGTTTTATAATTATGATTTTTTTTTTATTTTTCTAAAATATTCAAATGGAAATCCTTCAGTTTTCATATTCTAATAAATAAGATTGGCAATGTTTTATAGTACTTTACTTGCAGTGGAACTTATTTAAAATCGATTATTAGAGTTGTCAATATGAAGATATCTTATAATATGTAGGTGTTTGGTGATGTATCGCATATCCTATTTGTGAAAATATATAACTACCCTACTGAAAAACTATGTTATAATATCTCTAACATCTATAGAAATTTATAAAGTTAGTTTTTCCTTTGGCGATATAATAAGTTTCATCGGAGGATAAAATGCCAATTGTGTTTCTGTATATTGTTATAACCTAAATCTTTCACCACTTTAAGAAAATTCATTAAAATGTTAATTGCTTACTAAATCTTGTATGAGACAGATTTTTGTAAGAAAAACAAGACCTAATCAATTATGTGAAATTTTCGCAAAAGCATATCATTCGTTAATTAATGATAATATGGATTTCTGGAGTTTATAACCCCAACCTAGTGGATATTTTTATTTTCCACTAATTTCAATATGTGACGTTGTAAATATATAATCTAAGGAGTAGAAATTTTCTTCGATGATCTCATAACGACTTACAAATCTTAGGTCAAAGTTGTCATCAACACAACTTGACATTGACGAAGAATTTTGAATCCTCTCTTGTCCCCAGAAGCTCCCAAACAAAAACTCACCATTCTTTGAAAACTCCTCCAAAGCTTTTTCAACTTCTTCCATACACCCCAAACCTTCCATCTTTATACTCATAATCTCTTTTCTCCATTCTGAATCAACCCCATTATTTTCTTGACATTCACAACCGAGCCCCATTCTTTTTCTTCTTCGGTTTATTCCCCATTTTGTATAACACTTTCTCGTGTTCTTGACCAGCTTTTGAGGAAGTCCAAGGAAGATGAAGATCGCAATCTGGAGAACAAGACAGTTGCAACAACATGATACAACGACACAATCAGCTGCATAGGAGTTAAGATCTTCCATGGAATCTTGACTAAGAGAATCGAATGAAAAGTATAAAGACAATAGAAGAAATTAAAGAACAAACTATATCCTAACATATTGTAGTAATTTAGGATATTTGGTTTGAAGGAACTCCTTTGTTCTTTGCTTCTATAAGGAAGACATTGAGAGATGGATAATCAAGGAAGCAAAAACATAATAAATGAACTTATTTGGAGTATTATTTTAGATAATATAGTGTGTGATCAGAATTTATGAGATTACGATAATGGTAGCTAATTTTTCTTGAATAACACTCTACATTAATGGAGCCATTCGGTCAAGATATTCTTTTTTGGTAGGGTATAGACGAAGAAAATGGGTTTCTATCAGATTATAAAGCCATTTCTGGGTTTTGTAGATAAAAAGAAAATTATTATTTTTAATATGTATGCCGTTTGCACATTTAATTCGAATAGTTCTCGAATATCATGTGCTACAAATGTTTCTGGAAAATGGCAATTATAGTAAGTTAAATATTGTTGAACAAAAAAATGAGTAAGTAAAATATTAAATAAGTTAATGTGAACAAAAACGATATGACGTAATTCAGATCTCTTTGTGCAAAGGTGTCCATTGTGTAGACGCTAAGTATTTTTTTATAAACATCAAAGCAAAGGTTATGTGAACGGAGCATAAAGACAGGAAGATACATTGATACGTTTGGCAGATGTATGCATTCACCTTTTCTTAGAAAGGACCATACCTAAGTCATCACCAGATAAAATTATTGTATGGCCAACACAATAAACTGATAATCATAAATAAACCATGCTTAAATAGAAACATAATATTCGGTATGTATAGAATCATACAGCGACAGTTAGAGAAATCAAATAGTACTTTTATGAAACTTTACATGAATGTTAATAACAAACAAATCAAATGTAGTAGTCTATAGCATTATCAGGAACGATAGGTCAAGGTTCTTCACTATAATTTCCCTTTGATTTTAGTCATTAGTCTTGCCTTTAACTGGACATAAATAGAAAATTATTCAACTTGCATCAAGTTGATTTCAAAATTTGTGTTAATATAAATTATTCAACCAAATCAATCAACTATGCCGATGACTAATGATATTATAGTGGTCCAAAATTATATGGGCCGACAATGTCCAAAAATCAACAGACCAACCGTGTCATAAATTAATTTATGCGGATCTGCTTTTAGTGATTAAGAAATAAAGCAAGTCCATGCCAGAATCAATCAATATAGTGCCAAATTTCCCCCTGCATAGGCCGATGCAACAAAGCGTAAACCAGTCTGGACAATCCTATCAATGACTACGATGAATCAAAAGAGGGATTGAACATAAACAGACAAAGCAAAATCAACAGTTTATGGTTATCTTCTTTTGTCAAAGTTTACAAAATATATGTTTTGAACTGTTTGTAGTAGCCAAACATTCTGAAACTTCAAGGACCAAAACTCATGAAGACGAGATGGGCTTCAAGCACCGCAAAAGCTTTAACTCTCTTTTTTTGAGCAAAAAGCTTTAACTCTCAATTCACGTAAACAGTGATTAGGAAAATGTTGTTTCTCTGTAGTGTGTAGATATGAATATATAGATATATGTCTCGTTTTGTTAACTTGAAATTTTCTTTCAGATGAGTTTGTATGCAAACTAATTTAATTATTGGTTTGTACCATGTGCTTACAAGAGTTGTACTACTTTGTTTGCGCTACATCGATTCCATGTTGAAGTTTATACAACATAAAGTTTCAAGGAAAACTTTTGGTTAAAACCACAAACAAATTCGGAAATTCCAACAGCAAATGATATCAACTTGATCAATCAAACACATGAAACTCGGTTACCAGATTACAAAATAAGACTTTGGTTAAAACCAGTTATTAGTTGAGTTGTGTTGTTACACTCATAATAACCTCATCTCTATACTATAAAATCACAAAACTTGTAGTCCGATATAGATATATTTAACAAAACAAAATGATAAATCATTAGAAATAAAGATAAAAAAACTAAAGATTTGTGACTAAGATTGACATTGGATCACACAACACATTATAGCTCCATTGCTCCTTACTAAATCCCACAAAAATCATCTCTTTCCTTCATCATCATGATTCATGAATCTCTTTGATGATGATGAAGATGATAATGATGTCCAAAAATCCATTTCCATCCTTTGAAACTCCTACGACTCTTACTCACCTCTCTATCCTTCTTCGTTAACCGGCAAGACCCTCCTCCTCCATGCTCCAAAACGCCGTCGTTCACCACCACTTCTCCTCCTCCTACTCCTCCAGAGGAATCAAACTTAAGATCAATAAAACCAGACTCTTCTTCTCCTCCGGTAAAGTAACTCTCTTTCATCGACAAAACCCTCCTCGTGAAACTCATCGCCGACGAGTCACTCTTCCGATGCTGCTGCTCCTCGTTGACATTACTCTTCCTCGGCGCCGCTTCGTAATTGCTCCTCCGCGGATGACTATTTATGATACTCTGTTTATACTCTGTTTCGCTGAAGTTACTCCTCCGTGGATACTCTGTTTCACTGAAGTTACTCTTCCTCGCCTCGAAACAGCTCCTCCTCGGCGGCTCCGATTCGCTGAAGTTGCTCCTCCGCGTCTCCGTCGTCTCGCTGAAGTTACTCTTCCTCCCTTCGAAGTTGCTCCTCCGATGCTCCGTCGCGGCGGAGAACGAGCTCCTCGCGCCGGAGAAAGACGACACGTCTTCCTCCGACCCGTTTAAGTACCCGTTGTTGCCTCCTCGGAAGCTACAGAGCGATCTCGATCTCGAAACCCTTAGTGTCTTACCATCGAAACGCCAAGAATCTTTGTCGTCGTCGTCGTCGTCGTTGTTGTTTGGATCGAAAGGTCTTTCCTTTCTTGGATTAATCTTCTTCAAGAACCTCCCGATCCTCGAGAATCTGTGATGCTTCGTCTTACTAATCTCAACGCAGCTGCTACTGCTTCTTTTGAACACCACAACAGATTCCTCTGTTTTTTTACTCTGTTTCGTCGTCGGTTTCCTCTGTTTCGTGGTCTCTTCTTCGATGAGAGAAGAGATTCTGACGTTTCCGGTGTCTACGTCGGCGTGATTAGGAGAGATGTCGGAGCAAGAGCAGGAAGAGAGTCTCTTCTGTTCGCCGCATTGGGAGCATACGAGGTTAACTAAACGGTCGTTGAGACAGTACGGGCAGATTCCGACAGGGGAAACTGATGGATGTTTCCGACAAGAGAATTCTGACGGTGTGCTGTAGTATAGCGATACGTCGTCGTTTCTGCGCTCCGTTGCTGTTCTCTTTCCTCTGTCTTTCATCTTAGGCAAGAACAGAGATAGAAAGTTTCCAAATTGGGAATTTTTTTTTGCTTTGTTTTTTGGGTGTTGAAGATCCAGAGGAGTGAAGATGACGACGATCGGATCTTAAATTAGGAATTTCTTTTAACTTTTTCTTTATGTGTGTTTTTCTCGTATTTTGATGGGAGACTGAGAAGATTTGAAAGAGTGAGAATGTGTAGGGAGGCTTTAGCTATAGGCTTGGAGAGTGTTTGCTTTAGCTTTACGTTTTCTTTCTTTTTTGTTTATTTGCTTCTTTTTTTTCTCCCTTTTCAATTGGCCCACCAGTTTTGTTTCAAATTAAATTTCATTGTAGTATTGCTTTTATGTCAATTATATACATGATTCTTGACACCATATCCCCAAATTTGGGGAAAAAAATTACGGGTTATTTACTTCCTTTAGTTTAAAAATAGTATTAGAAACATGTTAGTATTCATATAATTAACGAATTACTAAAAGTAATTAGGGAAAGTTACTTAAAGGAGAAGGTCATTAGAAACATATAATTAATCGATTAATAAAAGTTAGGGAAAGAAAAGGAAAAAGAGAAAGAATATGTGATCAAGAAAGAACATGGTTATTTTGTTTTCTTTTCGTTTTTTTTTGTTTGATTTCCTTTCATTTTTTTTTGTTTGAATAGGGAGAATTTAAATATCAAATTCAATTTAAATTGATGTGATAGTATACACTTATTTGACGTGAATATTCAATTTTTTTTTCCTAGTGTCAAGTTATCTTATCTAATTCATTAATGATGTAGCTTTTTTTTTTTGGTCAAAGGTTTACTTCATTCACAAATTAAAATCAAACAGAGTTTTGCACACTCAAGGTGGCTAGAGCGCTCCATTAATGATGTAGCTAAGATATTGATAAATATGAGAAAATAATAGTTACAACATTATTCTAGCAGTATCTTCGCTCTAAGCCTTGATCGTTGTCTTCAGAATCCGCAGGATATTTGCATATGAGTTCTACTATATTCTGTTCGTCCGTTCTAAGTAGCACTCGGTTCCAAGAGCATACATCTCAATTTTATAGAGACACAATGCCTACACGAATAGACCAATCATATTTGGTTACTTGGAACTATTTGATTATATGACAAGACGACATTTTTTTCACAATTAAGTCGGTTTTGGTCATTTTGTAAGGATGATTCTACACTAACATGCACGTCGATGTCTTCAATCGTCCAGACGTGTATGCATAAAAGCAAAAACATTATTGAACAAATAAACAGAAAATTACACAAGATTATATAAGAGAAACATATAGAATAGGCCAAAAAAAGAAAGTTGGAGTGAGGATAAATACAAGAGAATTAACAACATTGAGTACAAGAGCGAACATATACGTGGAGATGAATGGACTCATGCGTCTGCCTTTGTTCTTTAGAAGTCCGTATTAGTTCTCTTGTCAATTTCTTAATTAAGTCTTTAAGTTCTTCTTGGTTACTGTATATTAAGGAATCTAATCAGAGTTTATAAAATATACAAATCGATATAAACACTGGTACAACGAGTGGCAAAAGTAGATAATAGGTGTCGATCAATGTAGCGAAACATTTAAATTAAAATTCCCTAACCAATGTTAAGTAAGCATAGAAAAAGATATTAGGAATATGCCATCTAACCAAAATAAATTTTATCAAAAGTTTTGAGTAATATACGTGAACGGACTAGTTTCGTCGAATCTAGTTTGTATATATATAATGATTAAAATTGTGCATGCTTTGTCCTTTTCAGTTTGACATATAAAATGTTAATTACCTAACATGTTCTTGCTAACATTATCTACGCTTTTTTTTTTTTTTGGTCAAACATTATCTACGCTTTTTACGATAGTGAATATGGATCCAACGTGAATAAGACCATTCTTGGCAACTTTGAATAACATATATGCATACATAAACACTGGTTAAATAGAACTCAAACTCATTCCTGGATGCGGCACAAGAAAGACTAGACCATTATAGAAATATAAAACGAAAATAGTTTGACTTTCATAAAAGAAGAATAATTACCAATCATCTATTGAAAGCATAACATATTAACCCGAGGCATGGTATGGCCCAAGAACATCATTTTTGTTTTTAAAGTTATACATCATACATGTGTCATGTGTGTATTCTGAAATTCACGAAACGTAAACCTAAAATGAAACGTGAACACCTTGAGAATGTAGTGTCTCTATCGAGTTACGAGTGATGGATACATAGCTTTTAATGTTTAACGTGACGTAGTGGGATGAAAAACATTTACTCCATTGTCAGTATATGTTTTGGTTACCTTTTATATATAAATTGGGATCCCTATATAAATTACACACAAAATCTAAAATCCAATCTTCTAACCAGCAATTTCAATAAGGAAATCACCTAAAATAAAAGTTAGTGCACAAAAATTAAAATGTAGAAAAAATTATGAACTATAACCGAAACCAAGGTATATAACATTTTCAAAGTTGGCCAAACTAATGTGAAATGAAATTTTAAATAGAAGAGAAATGGGTGGGTAAAAAAAGAGAGATAATGCAAAAGTCGGCACGCCCTAGGCAGCATGCTTGAACAATAGACATCATTTGGGACATGTCAATGTTCTAAGGTATGTTTTGTCTCCTTTAATATTATTCTTCATCTTTTTTTCTTTAAAAAACAAAAAGAAAATCCAATTTGAATCTTGCTGCGTATATATGTGTTAAACGTGTTCATAATCATTGTGTTGTATCGTTCCGTTGGTTCATTAATTATATTGTTTGTGTTTCATGATTGGATTATTCATTCCTAAACAGACAAGATCTTGGTTTTCTCATTTACTTTAATTAAGTTTTTAGTGATAAAATAATTTTCAACTATTTTGGCTTCTTTTAATTAGTTTTTAAAGTTTTAACCATTTAATTTACAAACTATTAACATAAAGAAGAAATACAGAATTGACTTCTTTCTAAATATCAAATGTTTTAAGTTAACTACGAACAACTTTGAGTTAGACTTTTTTTAACGCTGGTTTTCATTAACTTCCAAAAAGAATGCAATAAAAGATGTTAGTAGAAAATTCCACGAGGCCTGAGAAAAAACCAAAGTCGAAACACCTAATCATGGGATTAATTTTGGAGGCGTTGTCTCAGCCATGAAGGACCGCCTATCGCAATGTAAGATTAGTAGCGTCTGTCAGAAGTTACGCTCACTGCTATGTGTTGGACCATTTATAGCCATAACATGATGAATGCTCCATTCTTGGAAGGTCGAGAGAAGAGCATTGATCTCACTCATTAGAGGTTGCAGCAGCAGAAATACTGTGGGGTTAAGAAGTGATTTATTTGGCAAAGCACCTGAGGACTCAAAAGATAATCCTTCGTTGCCCAGTGTTCCTCATATAGTTATCGCCCAATGCAACACTATCTCAGTATCTACAATACTTTCTTTTGATCGGTTTCTGTGTATCCTTTTTTGTACAATACTTTATTTATTTTTGTATAATCTTGCAATAGTTGCTAGTCGAACTTTTCTGATTTGCAATCTAAATTGTCTGATAGTCGAATTTATAAAAAATAGTTTTGCGGTCCAATATTTTTTAGTTAAGCTACCATCGTCCCATATTCAGTTTAGACCAACTTCCTTAAAAAAAAACATTTGTTAAAAATCAATAAATTTTAAGGATTGATAACATTAATTCTGAACCAGTTTATATATCTATTCCCATGTCGGTGCAATTTGGTTAGCTTTAAATGATCTACATAATCAACATTATATATCTATTTCTTTCCTGAACCAGTTTCTTTAAAAATGATTTACTCTCTGCATTCCCATGTCGGTGCAAATTGGTTAGCTTTATACTGGCTGCCAAAACTATCTCTACCGCCTAATAGTATCATGTGATTAATATATATTATCATTTCTACCATCCCGACCATGTGATAACAAAAGATGGTGTTTTGGTTATGCAAAAGCATATACATTTCCAATTCTGTTTAATGTAATGAACATTAGCACGAAATTAATTCTCACAAATGTATTTGAAATTTCTTTTTATTGGTCTACTGGTTTAAACAAAAAAATTATTAATGTTTTTATATCGGAAAATTTGAGTTTTGAATTTTTAAAAAATGTAAATTATGTAGATCATTTGAAAAAAATCTTTAACATAATACAAGATGTACTATCGGTCTTAGATTTCATAAGACACTACATGGTGATGTACTCATATAGATCCTCATAAAACATGTATGATTTTTAGTCATACAATCGTTTAGATAATGTGTTTTTATAGTTTATAATAACACAATTAGTCAGTGTTACAAAATAATAAACAAAAAAGCAAATCGCAATAAACTGTTATCAAAATGAAGAAATTCATCAATAAATAATCACGAAAATTTGATTCTTTTTTCGTAGACACGTTACATAAAGGTTCTAAATGAATTACCTATTTCGACCAAACAAAATACTAAAAACATTAACGGGTATTCATCCAAAAACATATCAATCCAATCGTTTAGTTTCAGCAAAAATAATAAGATTCGTGTTGGGATTCGCATTATCCTCCCTGTAAAGAAACAAAGAAAAACAGTAAAGAGCAGATGAACAAAGACTATTAATACCAACACACAAGTTCTTAAGATACATAAGAATAAAGCTAAAACCTAAAAGACAAAAACATACCTTTAAGATTCTTTTTTCCTTTTATTCTTTCAACAAATGTTTCCTTCAAGCTTCTTTACGCGTAATCCTGATGAAACAGTTCAAATAAAACCCAGGTTACGGTAAGCTACAATGATAACAATGGTACAAAAAAAAAAAAAAAACAATGGTACAAAAAAAAAGAAAAGAAAAACAGAGAGATATTATTCAAACCTGAAGCAATAGATTCCAAGTGCTGTAGTGATCTCATGAATGACTGAAGTTGCAAAATGCATGTATAGTGCCATTGTGAATATACAATAACCAAGAAGAACCCAAAACTCATCCACAAGAGCAACCCTACACAAAGATTAAAAGACTAATCATATGATGAAATTGACAAAGCAAAAACCGAAAGAAGAAAGGACAAAAGAACATACCCGCTGTTGAGTCTAGCGGTTAGAGCATTGGCTAGTGCAAAAGGAAGGTAAAGCAGTGACTGTTTACAAGAGAAATGTTAATGAATACTATGAAGAAAAAGGATGAAAACATAGGATAGAGAGAGAGAGGCTTATAGGAGTTATACCATGCACATGTTTGTTTTCAGTCCTTTTGGTTCATCACATATGTGAGCTAGGATTATTCTTCCCTGGAATCATAAAACCATTGACCAATGGCTCAGCTTTTGATTCATCACTTAACAATGAACGAGTACAGATTCAAAACAAGATTGCTTACCACAATGAATCCAAATGCAAGACCAGTTCCCAATACAACTAAGTGAGGGTAGTTTCTTATGAGATCAACTGGTGACAAGTAATCCCTGATTAAAGACAAAAGGATATAACCATAAGTCTCAATGAGACCAAACCATGTTGAAAGAAAGAAAGAAAAATTAGAAAAGACATACCAAACCAAAACTCCTGCAATTAGCCCAACGAAGGGAAACAGCTGAATACACAAAAAATATATCGACGTTACAAACAAAACTGAGAGAAACAAAAAACGGAAAATAAGTGTTAAATCATATCAAGACTATACCATAGATAATGCTACAAACATGCTTCCTTTTCTTGACTGTAGAACTTTGTATACATTTGACACACTGTAGAATAAAGCAGAGCAAAAAGCATAGTAAGAATTTGACATACAAGATCATTGAACTCTCACAAGACTCACCTTAATGCAAGTGTCGGTATAACACCAAAAGCAATCATCGTTATTAGTACTAGTCTTGATGTTGTAATCTCTGTAACAATAAAACGAGAAAAGGTTCTAATGGCGTGAATAAACTTGAGGAGACAAGTTTACCAAAAAAACAAAAGCTTACCGCTCAAGAAGGGCACCCAACTAAACAAGGGGATTGACTCTCCAAACTGCAGAGCCCACCATTCAGCACCTTCAAGACGGAAAACAAATATAAAAGATTTTTAAAAAGGAAATGCTAGTGACAATGGTTTTTGTATAAGATTGTTGAAGCTTTACCAACAATGGCTGTGAAGAAGTGACCACAGTATATTAGTGCAAGACCTTCTGTAGGACCGTTGACTACCGGAAGAGTAAGTATATTGGTAAAATAGCTATATGACAAAAAAGGGTAAAGAGAGAAAAGGGTTTAGAGTTTATAAAAAAACAGAGTTAAGCTGAAGAACGTAGCACACTTACGTTTCCCATGTAGCTCCAATAAATGGAATAGCTGAAATAATCCAGAAGTAGAACGTGTCTCTTCCACACATAGCAGTACTCCCATATGCCATTGTTTCAAACTGTTTTTAAGCAGAAATAATATCACTAGTTTGAAGATAAAAGGAATAGAAGAAGAAGAGAAGGGAATGCAATGCCTACCGCACAAGCGAGTGCATCACAACCTACAAGAATTTGAAATGTGTGTAAGTCACAACGGATTGCTTTCACTGGAACAAAATAAAGAAAGATTAAGGTTGAGACTACCATGATCAAAGAGCTCTCCGAGTGGGCTACTGGAGTTTGTTCTTCGTGCTTGCTTCCCATCAACCGCATCAAATGTCTAAAAATATCAATCATAAATATGTCAGCACATTAGATACTTAACAAGCAGATGATCCTTAAGAGAAAGGACTCAGACCTGATACAGAAACAGAAGTAGTCCATGTGCTAAGTGAACCCATCGAGGAGGAGGAGAATTCAACTGAGGTGAGTATACCTAAAGACAAGTTCAAAGAAAATCCATATGAGAAAAGCGAAGAGAAGCTTCAAGAGAATTATGAAACCAATGAAACTCACATAGCCTAACAGCGCAGATATGATGAGAAACATGAACCCCGTAAGTGTTATCTACAAGACAAAAACACACACAAACAGTAAGTAACAACACGACATTAGAATTTTAAATGCGAAACTGGATTTACTTATACCATGTTGGGTCTGGATATGGATCCCAAAGACAACACATGCAAAAAGACAATAAAAATACATTAGTCCAATCTTTCATTCAACCCAAGAGACTACGAGATCTCAATAACTAGAATCAACATTACAGAATCTGAGAGGTGATGATACTTACGGCATCCAGAGAGGGAAGATTTTGACAAAACGATTCCAAAAAGGTTGGAGAACGTATTTAGCAAGATAAGAGTGATCAACACCACTGTATTTGTGTCTATGAAGAGCAGCCACACCATGTGCTCCTATGTATCCCATCCTTCTTTATAAAAATCTAACCTTTTTCTATTCTCAAATCAACCTGTCAAAGATCAACAAACAAAAATGTCATTAAAAGGATGGATCTTTCTGTGTCAAAACGAGCCCTTTTCAATTTCATACAATTCCTAAAGCAAACAACAACGAAATGAGCATGACCCATCTCAAAAAGAGACGATTTTTAAATCGAAACCGCTTCAAAACTCAACGAACAAGGAGAAGGAAACTAGTGTGGAAGGATCTCCATAAAGGGATTGTAGATTCGGGTAAAAGGGGAGCAAATTCGATCCAGAGATGGCGGAGACACGAAAAGGGGTTGAAGAGAAGAGTACTTACGACGCTACGGCGATGGCTACAAAAGACGTCGAGGAGGCAAATAATGCAGAGTCTGAGAATGTGTATATAATATAAAGAGAAAGAGAGAGAGAGGTTGTGGCTATGAGAATATGAGAGTCTCTTCTCTTCTCTCTCTCTCTCTATTGTGCGTTCTAAAAGAGGCAAAGCGGGACGAGAGTGGGAAGGAGAGGAGGAGGGCTTTGCGTATCTGCAACCATCCTTATTTTATTATTTCCTATATTTGTTTATTGTTTATTCTTTTTTAAGAAAAGAATCTTGTATAATACATTTTTTTCATTTAAATCCATTATAAAAGAAAATACTTTAGAATATCAATACGAAGTTTTGATCATAAAAATATTTTTTTTTAAAAGATCAAAATGAAAAAATAATTCTTAAAGGATAATGACATTTGTATTCAAATAATTAATTTATCTAGATTCAAAATTTACATTTGTATCTTAGCGTTTAGAATTTAAGATTTAAGGTATAAATTTAAATAAAATCGTTTAAAATATTTACAGAATAAAATTGAAAAAATTTGAAATAAATCAAAAACAATAATTTTGGAAAAAAATTATTTTGTTTTTTGAAAATAGTTCATTTTATATTTGTTTTGATATATATATATAGAAATGTTTTATTTTGATGAAAAGTATTTTGGTTATTTTATTTCGTGTGTGTTCTTTTAGTCATTAAAACATTTTAGGTGTGTTCAGGAGATTTGCCCATTATAAAATTATATAGTATTTTTGGAGATTAATTTGTTTTTAAAAAACAAAATAAAAAGGTTTTGTTTCAGTAGTTCTAAGCTTAAAAATAAGAAAAGATAAATTAATAAATAAAATGTGGCCCTTATTTATGTTTAAGATGTTTTATAATTTTTGTAATAATATTTTGTCATATCTTATAAATCAAATGTATAAGAATAAATGAGTGGACGTTTTTATGATCTCTTTTAGTTACGTATTCAACGGTTTTGATATTTTGGTCCATTTGGGTCTGTTACGTGTCCTACTCGCTAGATATTGGCAAAAACCATAAACGAAAATGCGTGCAAGACTGAATAAAATGCGTGCATTGATGTAATTAAGATGTTGATTATAAAAATAGAATTAACAACATTTGCTTATTCAAGCTTTAAATAGTTGATTATTTAAATAGAACTAGAAATATTTGCCCATTCAAATGTATTTTCTTACATATATATTATATAAAATATTCAAAAGATAGACAGGTAGGTTGTTCAATAGATTTCTATATTTTGAAAAGTTTAAAGAATCGTGTTCTTCTTTCTTCTGTTTATTTTTGTGTTGGCCTCAAAATGTTTCTCTCAACGAATATGGCATCTTCATTCTATATTTGTAGACAAAATCAAAGTTGCTTTCTTTTACGATGTCCACAATTTTTTTACTTTTCAAGTATTGTATACGTTAACAACTGATCACGACCCATACATGACTTATATCCAGTGATCTTATATATATAACTTTCTAAATAGTATGAAAGTATGGGAAATTCGTATGCATACGCGAATTATTGCAACATGAGATTATCTTTTATTCAAAATGGGGCAGGATATTGTTTTACAATTTAAAATATCGATGAAACCAAGACGTTTCGCCATCATTGATTTGTATTTTTGTCGAATAATTGAGTAGTAGTATCTTATATTACTATTTGTTGTTGGAGAATAAGCTTAGCTGTGTTTTTATTTAAGCAAGTTGAACAAGAACGATCACGTGTCCTATACTCCTATGCAATGCTTACGAGATCTAGTGCAACCCATTAGCTACTCTTAGCTAGTCAATGAGTCTCATCGATAGATAGCATAGTTTGTTCTTCGAACGAAAACGTTTCTTTTTAATGAAAACTTTAAACTATCTACAGTAGAAACTCAGTAAATTAATATTCAGTAAATTAATAAATACTATAAATTAATAATTTTTTTTATTTCGAAATGAGTCAATCTAAAATATTGCATAATAATTCGAAAAAATAATAAAGTAACTTTTTTTTGAAAAACCTTGTTTAAAACATGGTCACAATAGAAACATAAATTCATAATTAGTATTTACGAAGTTTATATAAATGTAATCATAGTTGGCCAGTTTAAGTTTGAGTTTTATTGTGTATTTATATCAGTTTTGGATTCAATTTTTATTGGGAACTATATTACCATTATTTGGCAGTTTGAGTTTGGATTTATGTCCAAATAGTTAATATGGTGAGTTCTAACAGATGATCGGTACATCTTCTGGTATTAGTCAAAAAGTATTCCAAACTCGGATTATGCAGTGTGTGGTACTCTTTCGGATTAGTCAATTCTGTAATACTAAGTGTATTTCTTCTAGGATCGACCGGATTAACCAATAAGATTTATCAAAAACATATAATCATAGTTGATTTTTTTTTAATTTATAGTGAAATTTATCTTTACTTTTCCTTACTATTTATAAATACATTGATGTTACTTTTTTGGGTGAATTGGGTGAATACCCAAAAAGAGAGAGATAATTAAGAATTGGGGGGGAGGGGGGGGGGAAGTGGTATGTGAGGGAAGAGAGAGATAGAGATAAATAGGGTAGAATCCTAATTTAGTGGTTTTGTGTGTATAGAGGGTGCAAATACTCTACTTTTTTTACACTTGAAATACATTTATGTTTATGGTATACATCAAATAATCAAATAAGAACAATATAAATTTAGTATCAATAAAATTTGATCAATACATATATATATACCGTGAAGTCAAGTATTCATATTTATACATAAAGCCATACTTTACAATATATAAAATCTAAAGGAAATTTTTCTATAAATTAATTAATAAAATATCAAAATTTCAACATTATTAGTTTATAGAGTTTTTATTGTATATAGTAAGGGAAGCCAAATCTCTGTAATGGGGTGTAAAAACTTCAGACTAAAAGGTTTATTAGAACAAGCAAACAATCGGTCATTGTTTTTAAATACAAAAGGTTTAATAAATTACTAAGAATGTGATAGGATGATACATTTGGCATTAATAAACTAGAATAAAATAAATTGTGTTGAGTTACTATATTTTTATCAAATCAAGATAAATTTGTGTGCATCTCACTTATGCTAAGAAGAATAAAAATATGGTAAAATAGGTAATGCATTTCTCTAGATTAAATAAGATTTTTTTCTACTTTGGGTTTTATTTTTTATTTTTCATTCTCACTTTTGCGCACAATTAATTTTAATAAATGCGAATTAAAACCAAAGTAGTTGATACTTTTTCGATTTCAATTTATCTGATATTTTTAAAAATTTTATTGTAAATTAAGTGATCTTCTCACTAATATAGATAAAATTTTAGTGGTTGAATTAATTTCTCTTAATTTTATCTAATGATATTTTTATATAGTCAAAGTAGCTGTTATAAAAATTAACATCTTTTAATATTTATGCATTAATCTTAAATACTGAATATAATAAAGCAGAGGGAGTACTTGATGGTGATACAAACAATTACTTGTGAGACAGCTCTGCTTTTCATATTCCAATCCGGAGCACACGACTCAACGTACATTGACCTATGTGTTAGGCTCACGGTTTGAGAGCACTCAATATAATTACTGAATAAGTATGTCTGGTGAAAATCATGTAAACCATTTTCTATTTAACTGTTTAAAAGTCAAAACTGAGAATTACAAAAAAAAACACAGAAAATTTCTAGAAACCATTTATAGGTCGACAATGGAACTCACTGAAGATTTGTCATCCAAAGATAACAAACAACAAATGATCAATTTTCTTTTCAGGTTGGGCTTGTAGCCAAGTAGGATATATGCTTAATGTGGCTCTAAGGCCCGGCCCACAACAATATACCAACCTAAAAACCAATTTCACAAGACCATAAGATGAGTCATTTATGTAAAGTAATATCAATACAGAATCATTCTCTTTAATGAATTTTTTATGTTTTCCAAAATTAACCTTAATGATATGAACAAATTTTTTTTTCATCAATGTCAATATAGTCTTTTGATTTTTATGCCTAAGAACAATATAATAATAAATTTTATTAATTGACTAAATTCACCTTCTAATTATTTACAAAATTTCTTTCAAAAACAAATACATCAATCTTAATTGGCGTAGGTAGAGCTGGAATTTTGATATTAGTCTGCGGGTTGACCCGCCACGGAATCGAAAATTTTAAGTTGTGGGTGTGGATGCGGGTCAAATGTATTTTACGTGAGATGAGTGCGGGTTGTTCTAACTTCAATTGTGGGTATCCGGTAATCCGCAAAAAAATATTTTTATGTTTATTTTTCAAAAATATACTAAATTTTGTTAAAATAAATTATATTTTTCAAATATTAAAAATTAATTATTTTTATTATTTGATAATTATATGCGGGTCTCGCAGATTACCCACAAAATTAAGTGGGACGGATGCGAATAAAATATATTTTCTTTACGGGTCAGGTGGGTAGGAAGAGATGAATTTGACCTGCTTCCCAACACCAAGCGTAGTTAAATGATATTATTTTTCAAAAATAAAACTATACAATTACATACAATACATTTACATAGATACAGATGATAATAATAAATTAAAATCTACATTAATTTTTTGAAGTTATATTAGATAGTAACATTTTATATCATCAGATCAAAAGATTCTTTAGATAAACAACAAAAAATGGTACCCGGATCAAAAATCTAGTTTGGCTATTATGTTTTAAGACTAGCTTGATTGTTGACAAAAAAAAAGGATTTGCTTGATTTTATCACTTCCACCTGTAAACGCAAATTTGATTGGTTCGCTACCATCTACAAAAACATCGTTTGCGAGTGTTAGCAGTTGTTAGTCTTCTATGATCACAAAAAATTCTATAAATCATTTTTAATTTTCCAAACTTTTAAAGTTAAAAATTGGTCTTTGCTAGAGTTTGTACTGGAAATTACGGTTGGATGAACAAAGATAAAAAATTATTTTAGTAGTTTAAAATTTAAAATTAAAATATATAACTTTTATCTAAACAAAAATAAATAAATATTACTATTAATTATATTAAATTAATAATTTTATAATTCTTCTAATAATATAATTTTCATATTTTTAAAAATTGTTATAATGTATAATTTTGATTATTTATTATTAAATCATTATAATATTTCATTGTCAATATGTCATACGATCCCGCAAACGTTCAATTT